GGCCATCGTTAGAAATATGTGAGCGAATCCTGGCGACCATCTCGACCAGTTGGCAACGACCATGTGCTGACTAACCGATCGGCTCACAAGTATGGGCCAGTCTATTGAGGCGGCCGTTCCCCCACTTGCACTTGTCCGTCAAAGGCGGAGCACTGCCCTCGTGCTCAAAGGTTGACGGCATATTTCCATTTTCGGAATGGGCGCATTGTGACTGTTGTAACCGAGCCTACAAGTGCAAGGATATTCGCGCCCGTCGGCGTCAAAAAATTGGGAGATTCCATGCATACGTATGCACGTATCCACGTATACGTCGAGGAATATGGAGAGGTTTCGATCCATTTCGTTAAAAAACCGAGCGCCCTGGTGCATTCGGCACTATAGCGTCACCAACAGCCCCATACGCGGACGCAACGCCCGTGGTGTCTCTGTCTCCCCTGCCTTACCAGCCCACGGCAGGCAGCCGCGACGGGCTATGCAACGCGCTCACGAGCGTTCTGGGACGCAGGCAGCGCTTCTGGTCCAATCAGAACACCAGAAACTCACAGCGCGCCGGCTGTCGCCTTCCGCTGCGCAAGGAGGCGCCCCTGCAATTGATCCATGCCTTTTCCGCGATACAAAGAGACTTCAGCCCGGGACGCATATACGTAAGGAGCCGACATACTGGCCCTGTCCAGCCAACCATGTGGGCGCCCATGGGGCGCCGCGGCAGCGCGGTCGGTTCCCGCGCGTCCCATTTTCGCGTCCCGATGTCTACACTCGATCCTCGCTTCGTTGTCGAAACGCAATGGAGACTTGGATCAGAGAGCGATCCATGGCGGATGTAGCCGCAGTGCCGAAAAAGGCGCCGGGGGCACGAGGGGAGCGGAAAGCAGCGCTTGTGCGGGTGGGTCTTGAATCATTTGATCACGTGCGCAAAGGAGAAACGGCAAGCCCCTGCGTTTGCAGCTCGGCAGCGATGTCGGTTGCTACTTCGAGCGTAGCATCAGAGTCGCAGTGCCGCGGGGCGGCTATTCCGACGGCCCAGGCCGCCGCCTCCCAACCGTTCCTCAATTTCGCGTCCCTTTGAGCGCAGCCGAGCGGCGAGAACAAGGGCGAATGAACGCTGGGCGGGGTGGGCGAACGAGGTCGCCAGGCCAATGCCTTGCGCCCCGAAGGGCAATTCCCAAGGAACGCTCCCACGAATCGTGTCACGCCGTTCGCAAATCTTCTGGGGTGGGCACGATGCGTCGCCCGGCCGATTGCCAGATCTGCTTGACCATGCGCAATGAACTTGGAACCAACCCTCAAACCCAGCTCGGAGCGCAACCTCGAGGCGGAACAACGCGTCCCACCAACGGCCCTAGTGCCGCGTCCCTGGGGGAGGCACCCTCTGATCCAAAATCCGCCACCCCCTCGATTCGGACTTGGCAAAACCGGGTGTCGTCCAGACACTTGCGCGCTGTCATGGGCCTGCGTCCTCACCCCACAGCCTCACCTTAGCTCTCCCTGGCGCGACCTCCGCCTCTGGCAATCCTGTTCGGGGCCTGGCGCGCGAGGGCTTGCCCAACGGACGGGCACGCGTTGCGTCAGCTGCGGTGTCGCTTACCTCGAATCGTAGAAGGGCGCTGCTGTCGCGTCATGCCAATGATGGGCTGGGGATGGGGCGCGTGCAACAACAGCAGCCCGGGGGTGTCGACTGGATCACTGGCGCGCATTCGCACACAATGCAATGCATGGACAGCCAATGGACAGCCAATGGACAGCCAATGGACAGCCAATTGGCCGTCCTGGAAATCCTGGTAACTTGATGCCGCGCTGACGAAGGGGGTTGATCCTAAAGACAATCCGTTAGGAAATGGATGGGATTTAACACTGTGGAGGAGATGGCATGTAGAGTTTATGATAGTAAGGATGCTTGAAAAGGCGCAGCGGTGTCTGTTTGTTGTCTGCGACACGTGTCTCCGAGAAATCTCCGAGAACAGGGGAAAGGGGTTGGAAGAACCAGGATAGGGCGAGCACAGCAAAGCGGGATGTTGAGTCAGGAACGGTAGTCGACAGGGACGCTTTTGATATGACTGCTGGGAATAATTTGCTGTTTGGTGATGGCTAACGTGGTCGAGATCCACAACAGCGCAAGGTCAACCAAGGAGTCATATACTGGTGGCAGAACGATTAATCGAGTCGGCAATAAGAAGTTGTGGCAAGATTGGACTGCAGACACGACTTTTGAAATGGAGGCAGTCTTTGCACAAAGCTGGGGATGCTTGGGCAGTGGTGCTCGTTTGCGCAAAAGGCGCCTGAAAAAGCTGCGGCCCAAGCGAAAATGACGCCTAGCGTACCGAAATGCTGTGTAAGTGGGCGATCAGAGTGCCCCCCGCCATTCTTGAATTGGATGGCTATCTTTTCCGCACGCTTGCCAGCTTCTTGTGCCACTGGGCCCCTCATTGGTGGCCCCCCTCACATGTACGAGGGGAGGAAGAAGAATCGGCTGTCCTCCGGACTACCCTACGCACTGAGCCCCAATCCGCCTAGGGTGGGAGGGCAGGGGACCAGGTTCCCACAAACCCATGGACTCGTTACAAAGGTGCCACTCATAACACGTATCGTGCAACTACTTGAGCATCTTGCCTGTCTTCTTCCTCAACAGGGCCAGCATCTGTGCAGTGTCTCTGTCTTTGTCCAGAACCCAAACATGTAGTACTGCTGGCTGCTCGGGACTTCTGTCCGACCAGTACTCTCCTGTTGTTCAGTGGGTATGTAAACATGGCGCAAATATGTCCTGCATGTGTCGAATTGTCCTGAATTGTGCAATGGGGATGCGATTCAAACAACGTTTGCGCCAGTCAAGTGGGCGTGGATGATCCGTTGGTCCCACCGCACATCCTTATTCTCTTGTAATGGTTGCTGGCATGGCTGCACCTCTCTAAACACTAGATTGTAGATCTGCTGTTGGGAACTGACGATCACCCGTCATACATGGCCACGCTGCAAAAAGCGCCGTGAGTCGCATCTGAGCGCAGCTCTATTTGCTTAGGCAGATTTTTATGTTTTAGGCTTGTTCCTGAGGCAGAAACTCTGACCGTTGCCGCCCTCAACTGCGCTCTTGCGGTTGGTGCTGCTGGCACCCTTTTCTGGATCGCAATGCTGGGTATGCGGGAAGGCTCGTTCAGTTGAGATGGGGTCCCCTGCGGCCCACGTCGTGCTGGGGTGCTGACCGGGGTGCACTCGTTCAGGGTGCTGCTGTAATGTCCAGGAGGTTTTGCATTCGTTTTCGTTCGTTTAGCATTGTGCACGAGGAATCAACGAGTGCAGTCCTCGCACGACACGGTGGCAGCCCACTGGGTTGGTACACTGGGATGGACACCAATGCGGCCAACGTGGCCTTTTTCTGATGTTGGCTCTGCAACAACGCCGTGCGTCATGAAGGGAGGCCACCCCCAAAAAGAAGTGCGCAGCAAGAGAGCGAGTGGGCGCGACTGGGGAAAGAATGGCGACCAGCGAACCACAGCCTGTTTGGAGCCAGGCTTGTTATGTACAGTGTAAGCACTGCCTGTGTTTGCGTACTTTCACCCGTTCTTACTTAAAATAGGTAAGTACGCGCTGTGTTTACGCCATAAATAAGAAACTTCTCTTGCAGGCTCGACCCTATTTGAAGCCATTGTTTGGCACCCGCTGGGAACGCTTGTGCCATCAAAGGCAGCGCGTGCAAATGCGGCCAATGGAATGAATCCTATTCAGTGTGCCCTAGTACAATCATCACTTCATCAATCAAAGGATTCACATAAAGATAATTCACTATTCTGTTAACGAGTTTCTGCCAAGGACGACGATTGGGTGGGCGCGCAACGGCCAGTCCGAGCTGTCCGGCCCCTTGGGCCAGTTTCAGGGCCATCACACGCCCGGTTTCTGTCAACCCCCTATACTTGAGGTCAGTTCTGCCCGACGGATCCAAGGGCAGTTGGGGCGAACCTTGTGCCTTGGGCGTAGACAAGGGGGCCCATCAAGCTGGCCCTTGGGTTTGGCGGGGAGTTTGGCGGCAAGTGGGAGCGACTATTTTAGGCGCGACCCTTGGCGCCCCCCTTATCTTGTTTCGCACCCGCCCAGCCCACCCTAATGGAGTGAGTTTCGGTTCGCTGTGGGATGGCGAGGGAGTTGAGTACGAGAAAGGGGAAGCTGACTCAGGGTTGAGTCACCATCGGCGTGGCATCGAGTACTATGCGAAGCAAGGGCACATTTCAAGTGGTCGCCGAACGGGTCCTGCATTAGTGAGGTGATGGACACCAAAGTGTGTGAATGTAATGTGAGTGTCATGTATTTTCGTGTGGGGAACACGGGGGAGTTTGAAGGAGACCGGCAAGGGAGAAACGGGGGGGTCTCTAGCCCGGGCAAGAAGCACGCAGTGGCCCCACGCACAGGCCCAACTGCATCCAACGAAAGGTCACATCAGCCACAGCCATTTCGCGCAAAAGAGGCAGCACAATTCTGCATTCCCTCGTTCTTGTCCCTCTCCGCGGACCACGAGCCCAGGAACCGGTACGAATCGTACGAATCGATATCGAATAAGATTCGTACAAAAAGGTACGAAGCGGTTAAAATCGTTATAAAATAAGGATCGTCCGAATCGGTACGAATCGATTCGATAGACGACGTCGTGAAATCATGCACTCACATGCACAGCCATTCTTCTGGCGAGGCCAACAGGTCGGGTTACCCTTTAAATTAGACCTCCACTTCCCTGCTGCCCGCTCGCTGCACTTTATTTCAGCTCCGCCTCCACTCTCCCGCCAACGTCCCTAACTACTCCGAGGCTCAGAATCGAACTTTCCAGAACGCCATGTCCGCCATATCCGCGATGCCGTTCCAGTGCATTAGCCACAACTACAGTCCCGGGCATGTCCTGTATTTTGTGTCCTGTGCTTCGTTCTGCGTTGCCGGGGTGCCATTCCAGTACATTAGCCACAACAACGGCACCGGTCGTGCCCCACACTTTATGTACGTCCTTTGCTCTGGCCTGCCGGTATTTAGACTGAGTTGCACTCGTCGCTGTTCTTCATCTGGGAGCACTCGAATCCCCTTTCAGCGACTTCGTTCTGCAGCGCCTTGTCGTGAGAGAAGAGGATGTCCATGTAGGCCAGGGGCCCCGCGGTGCAGAAGCCTGTAACGCGTAGCAACTTTCGTCGGTAAACAGCGGAGCATTAAAATGTATCAAAATACGAAACGCACAAAACCTACGAAATAAAGACAAAATATAAAATAAAGTAATGCACAAGACAAACCAAATATAAGGCATTCTGTGCATGTGCTGCAGGAGAATCGTACAAAAGACTGGGGGCGACGTGCAGAGGCCTGTAACGCGTAGCAATTTTCGATAGTAAAACATGCACAGCATAAAGGATTAATTGTATGTTACGCGTGTGTTACCAAGGGAGCGCACAACAAAGATTTGGCCGGCGGTGCACAAGGCTGTGATGCGTAGCGGTATCTGTTATTAAACGCACAGCATACAGGGCGGATGGCTTTTGGTTGCCCAATAGCCTGAATTTTGGCCGTCGCAATCACCGCGGCGGCGCCACTCAATGTCAAAGCCGCATAGCAGTTGGCGTCGCCAAAGTGTTTCCGCCAGCGCCTACACCACTGCTACTTTACTGTTGTGTACTACAGTGCTTCGCAGCAACCAGAATCGGTACTGCTAAGCGCTGCTCATAGCACTGCCAATGTACAACTGTACACAAACACTGCAATGCACAACAACAACTGCTTTACTATAGCGCAGTACTACAATGTACTGCTCGGGCCGCCTACCGTCAGCTTCGTCCCATCCGCACTCGGCCTTGGCGTCGCAGGCCTCCTGGTTCTCCAGCGTCAGGCAGCCCGAGCCGAAGATGCCCTGGACCACCTGGCACTCGATGCCGCCTCGCTGCACGTTCTGATTGGACAGCTCCTGCACCGCAAACAAAACGCGCCAGAAACTGTCAAACACAAAATAGCAATTATTGTATTATATTCACAACCGTACACAGCAAACACAGCACATACAGTGCATAATATCAAGCACGCCAACGAAAACCAGCAAATACACCATACAGAAATCAAGTGCAGCAACGAGAAAACAGCAAATACATTTCTTTGCGATAGTGTATATCAAACATGATGACATATCAATTTCAACTGTCTTTACGCTTTACAAAAAGTGGCGCAGGCAAGCACCCTTATGCTACTTTTGCTCAGAATGCGGCTGCCAGAATACGTTTCAAAATAGGGCCAGAAATATGTTTCAAGTACGGTTGAAGCAAGGCTCAAAATGCGATTCAAAATATTCTTCAAATACGGAACCCAAGGTAGGGTACTGTGCCACAGAATACTACTGGATCGCGTTCCCATCTGGACCCAAGGAGCACTAGCTTCTCTTACCTTCAGCAGGATGCTGGGCCCCAAGTTGCAGACGCCCATCTGGGCGTTCCACAGGCACCCCTCCTTGCAGTTGCCCTCCGTGGTGCCCGTCTCCAGGCACTGCAGGGAGTTGCGCATGATGGCCTGGGCAACGGGGTCGCTGATGGCCTCGAGGTATTTCTGGACGCAACAAAAATTGAAAATGTGGTCATCGAGTTATTTCTGGACGCAGCAAAGATTCAAAATATGGTCATCGAGGTATTTCTGGACGCAACAAGAATTAAAAATATGGTCATCGAGGTATTTCTGGACGCAACAGGAATTAAAAATATGGTCTTCGAGGCATTTCTTGGCTCAGAAAAGACGTCTCACAGTGAGGATTTATGGCAATTGTTCAGTCTTTGTGGCCAGGAAACATTGCCATGACTGTCGCAATAATTTTCACAATAATGGTCACAGTAATGGTCATATTAATTTGGGAAAATGTGACAATGACGCCATTGCTCGTTGCCAGACATCGTTGTCAGGAACTCTCGTAGCAATTGTCATAGCCATTGCCCTGCTGATCGTCACAATTGTCATGATGACGTCAATACTTGCTGGCATACATTATTGCCAGACACTGTTCAGACTCTGCTTTGCGGTCAACTCTTTTGTAAGGGAGATTCGCCCCACATCGATGGCCAGTTGGTCCCCAATGGCTACCCGATCGGGCGTTTGCCATCCGTTCTCGAAGCAGCCATCTGCCAGCAACGCCGTTTCAGGGAAGATATGGTCGAAACTGCGCATGGCGAAACATTTGTGCGCTCGACATTGCCAGCAAGGCGCGCGGACACTGTTTGCTGCGGCCATCCCGAGAATCTCAATTTAGTGCAGCTCTAGGCTTCAACGTGCCGCGCCCTCTTTGCATTATGCGCCTTTTCTGACCAGCATTCTAGTTTCGGCCTTTTGAGAGCTATTCGTCAAGTTCGTCACATTTTCTGAGCATTTCTGGGCATTTCTGAGGACTTCTTGCCGTTTCTGAAGATCTTCTGGCCATTTCCCGGGCACTTTCCTTCCATTTTTTGGCATCTTATGGACATGTTTCTGGCCTCTTTTTGTACGCTTTTGGATTAATTTGCGACCATTGTTGCCATGAGGCCCAGGGCCCTCCCCACCTCGCGCTGGGCAACCCTCATGGCCCGGAAGATGGCATCCGCAGGCTCGCATTTCCTTCCCATTTTCAGGCATTCTGAACATTTCTGAGCATTTTGCGAACATTTCTGTTCATTTTTGCAATTTTTCGCAACAGGTGATGCCTTTGTGCCCGGGGGCTTCCCCACCTCGCGCTGGGCAACCCTCATGGCCAGGAAGATGGCATCCGCAGGCTCGCATTTCCTTCCCATTTTCAGGCATTCTGAACATTTCTGAGCATTTTGCGAGCATTTCTGTGCATTTCTGCAATTTTTCGCAACAGGTGATGCCTTTGGGCCCGGGGGCCTCCCCACCTCGCGCTGGGCAACCCTCATGGCCAGGAAGATGGCATCCGCAGGCTCGCAGTGCTCCTTGCCGTCGAGCACGACAACGTCCCCGCAAAGCTTGTCCTCCGTGCACACACCGTCACTGGCCAGTCGCTTCTGTCAGTACACAAAGAACAACAGCGGGTCAATGACAGATGAATCACCGGTAAAATTGAATGGCAGTGCATAACGACAAAACCTGAGTCAAATAGATTGTGTTGACATGGGACCATGGGCCATCGATTCCAAACGACCCATGTGCTTGATTTCACCCCCGCCGTCGCCTGTTAGGTGCAAGGGCTGTTTTTTGAAATTTAACGGCAAATGTAATCGAAAGGATTTTATGATTTTTCTGATGAGTCGATGGAAGGCGATTCATTAGGGATAGTTAATGAGGCATTCAAATAAGTTGGTTCAGTGCTGCCGTGGCGATCGTGAAATTGATGCAGATTGCTGTGCTGGGCGAATGAGCTGCTGCTGGCAGTCTTTCGAGCGAATTGGCCCAACCAAACGGCACAAGTCAGCATGCAATACTATGTACTGCAAAGCACTAAGGTTTATAAGCGTTGATTACCAAGTGCGAACGCTGTGGCCATCCAGTTTTGTCTGATGACTATCATTTCCATGTATAAAGACAGCGAGAGGGTAAAGAAAGACAAAAAACTGATTGGTTTTTGGTTCGGGGTTTTCATGAGAACCCTAAACCCGAAAATGAGGTTGATGACCTTCACGCCCTTCATGACATGCATTACCTTCTTGTGCGGAGTTCAAGGGTAGCTGACGTTTGTGCTCCACTCCTCATCGTGGCATAAGACGGTTATGTGATGCAATGCCCTGCTGCATATTGTGTCGTATGCATGTATTGCGTCATCCACTACGTCACGTACGTGTATGTCATGTCATGTCATACACTATGCGTGATTGTTTATACAAACATCAATTCTTCGAAGCATAACAGACTATTGAATACAGAAGTATGACATAAAAACATACTATAATGCAACACAAAAGTATATGAAATAGTGTAGGACAGCGTATAACACAATGACAGTGTTGGCGTTGCTTGATGTGTGTAGACACGGTGAATGCTGTCGGGACACTCACCTGGCAGTAGAACTGGGTGAGGAGCAGCACATCGGCCTCCTCTGCAAAGTTGCGCACCGTACATATGTTCTGCCATTTATTGCGTGGGATACATTATTGCAAACACCGATATCGCATAATATACCGAAGTGTAAAGTAACGCACAAAACATAACCTCGATACTGTCGGTATCATACTCCATACATATCATATATATCATACTATCAGTATCATACTGATGTGGTCTATGTACGTGGACATGACGGATGCTGTGGGAACACTCGCCTGGCAATAGAGCTGGGTGAGCAGCAGGACGTCGGCCTCCTCGGCGATGTTGCACACCACGTAGTCCATGCCGTCGGGGCACTCGAACGGCGGCACCTCGACGTCCAGGATGGCCTTCGTGTCGTTCACGTTGGCGTCATCTACGGCCTTCTCAAGGACCGCCGCCCGGCTCTCCTCGATCTACGGCCACATTCTTCGTGACTTCCGCCGGCAAAACGTGCCTTTTTCCAAATTTTCAATTTTCGATTTTCAATTTCTCCATTTGCAATTTTTTGTTCCGTGTTTAGGAAAAGAAGTAGGAAACAGAGATTGAACGGGAAAAAAGATTGGTGATCATTACGCACTGAATTGCCAAAAAAAATGGCGCAATGGTGCTGGAAGTGCCTTTTCCAGGGCTGCCGCCCGGCTCTCCTCGATCTGCAGACGACGCGGGCACATTCTCTATGAATTCGGCGGGCAAAAGGTTGCGCAACTTCGCTCCGCGCTTGAAACAGGAAACAAGAATTCAGAACAAAATCTGTGATTATTCGAAAACAAAATCTGTGATTATTGCTCTTGAATTGCCCAAAACATCGAGCACCAATAGTCGAAATCGCTTTGCCTTGGAGTGCGGCCTGGCTCTTTTCGACCTGCAGGGACATTCTTCGTGACTGGCACCAGCAAACCATAACGCAATTTCGCGCCATGCTTAGGAAACAGTGACAGAAAAGAGAGATGGTTGGCAATAAAAACTAATGATCGTTGCACGTTGAATCGTCAAAAAATGGCGCACGTATAGTGGACACCTCTTGTCCAGGACCGATCCCCAGTTCTCCGCAATACGAGGCGGATGCAGGGACAAGCTCTTCGTGATTGTTGAAAACATAACCACTCATTGCAGTTCTCGTAGTTAACCACTCCACAGCAAACAGGAAACAATTACTGCACAAACAATTACTGTACACACCGGGCCTTAGGAGCCCGGTTGGATCAGCCGGCCCCAAGGCCGGTTGCCACTCGTGTTCCTCTGGGAAGGCTCATGGGGGCCCACGGTTTCCTTGGATTATACAACAGAATTAGCTATTCTATTTCACGATGGCTATCTGGACAAATTTAAATTTCCAAAAGGAAAAAATGGAAAAGCCATCATGCAGCTCTTACCTCCTTAAGGCCCCTGGGGAGAGGGAACTCTCCGAATGTCGAGGGCACTCCGGTCAGGGACTTCCAGATGTCAAAGGCGCAGATTTTCTGATCGCCCGCCTCGGCCCTAAAATGAAAAAATAGGTTCATTCGGTTTCAAAAGGTCCAAGCACGCGACCGCAGGGGCAGGGACACAAGCAAGCAAGGGATCTGGGGGCCCGGTGGTGTGTATCCATTCAGGAGATACTTTCGGAGCACCATTAAAAGGACCACGGATACTTAAAAGTACTTCGAACAATGCTGTTCAGGCACTCTCATAGTGATCAAAGATTCTTCAGCGACACCCTTTATCATACATTCCACACATATATGTGTACAGGGTATAAGTTTGTTGTAAGGTATACTAGGGAAAAAGGGCCAAACAGCACGTGTTCAAATGTGTGCAAAGTTTACGGGTTTGGTTTATTTTTGTGTTCTTAGCGTGCACAACTGTGATGGAGTGTGTTTTATTTGTCTTCGCAAAAGCGTTATTTGGTCCTTTTTTCTTTGCTAGTGGCGTTTAATGCGGACAAATTTTCAAGCCTTTTTTCAAGGGACCCCTGACCCTCGCAGTCATTTTAAATGTTGCACACTTTCTGGTCACCTTGAAGGATAACAGGCACCGCTAAAAGAATCGCAGATCCCTCAGAGACACTCCACAGGCAGCATTCAAAAGATGAAAGATCTTTCCGATACGCATTCAATTGCACTTTCCAATGGGTCACGGACAGGCTTGGTATTCGCGGCGTAAACACAGCCTGTATTTACGTAATTTATGCGGAAACGCGTAAATGCGTGTACATAAGCTGTGCTTACGCAGCAAATAACACTCTTGATCACAAATGCTTCAAAGACAACTATTAAATGCCCACAAATTCGGACACTTTTCCATGGGACCCCTGGTCCTCACCATCCGCAGTCTCTCTGGATGTTGCACACTTCGGCCGACTTGTGCTGCGAGCACTCTGCGAACTTCTCGGGAGCCTCCAGGAATGCGCTCACGTCCTTCCCGACGCAGTCGCTAATGCTCTCCGTGTTGGACACGTCCACGTCGGCGGCGCACTCACCCTCGTCCCTGAGACACACCCACAATTCTTAACAGACTCCTGCACACTGCATTGGTATGAGTATGAGAATGAGTATCATTATAGAAGTAGCATCTGCATCTACATCTATACCTCTACCTCTACCTGTATGTGTATCTATATCTTTGGCATACGCCAGCATACTTCACTAGCATTCGCATTCGCATTCACATTCCTATTTAGATTCAGATTCAGATCGACATTTATATTGCACTTGTCCTTCAGTGCCATGGCGTTTTTGGGATGCCAACTGCGACGCCCATTTGACACTGCTTGATGCCGTCGCAGTGATTGCGATGCCATCAATTTCATTCATTCATTCATTATTCAATAAAACAGTTATTGGCAAATGGCATCGCACTTGGCACCGCAGCAATGGTGAATTCTGCCAGCGCTTGTGTCGTGTGGCGCATTTACTTGCTTTGTGTGTCATATTATATGCACGGCTGAGATATCAAGCGTGCAGTCTCGAGTGTGTTTCGAGTGATAGCTTGCAGTTTCCGCTGTATGTGTTTCCATATTTTACCCCACTACCTGGACCAGTAGAAAACAGCACGTTTTGCGATGCCAATTGCGATGCCGTCAAGTTGATGCCATCTCAGCCGCTTTTATGCCATCGCAATCACTGTGACGGCATCACTTTGTGTCAAAATGGCATCGCAGTTGGCATCGCAAACATGCCGTTTTCTGCCAGTGCTGTGTATATGTCACATGCATACTGTGTATGCTGAATGCAACAGCCCGAGGGTCGTTTTGACACGGTTTGGACTATCAAACCAGTTGAAGAACTTGCTACGGAATCTACAAACGGTCTGCAGTATTTCAATTGTATGTTAATTCATCCAAATGTTGAACAATTAGTTGAACTTAAGCACAAGGAGCACCGGCAAATGCGCAATACCGGCCAGCAAACTTCCTATCAGAAAAATTGATACAAAGTGCTGTAAAGTGCTATATCTTGTGCCGCTATTTACTGCGAAAAATGCCGAAATTGTTACATCGCCAGCGTTCCCCTCACCATGCGCACTGCTCGTTGCCCTTGCATTTCTCTTCATCGATGGTCAGGCTGCACTTCTGCAACGCGCGCATTGCAAATGTTTGAAGCGAAGAATTAGGATCCACTCAATAATTTAACCAACAAGACAACTTAGGAGCATTTTTGTGACACCTCACATTGACAGCATGGGCTGTTCGATTGAAATCTAAGAGCTTGACTGATGGATGCTCAGCATGAGCGATACCATTGGGTAAGGCACTTAATGGCACATTGAGAATGCCATCTGAAGCAACCACCACTTGGCAATACATTAGGTGCGACGTTAGAAGGCCACTGGCGAAAACGCAGTGTCAAAAGCGGACGAAATCACAAACAAAAAGGCATTTTACCAATGAACTAATTCCTTAGAAGGTGCATAGAATGCACAAACTGGTACATTGCTGACGCTGGTTACTCCGCAACCACAACATTTCAGCAGTTTAACCTGACTTTGTACACGGTATAAAATGTTTAAAACGCCAATTTTCATTGTTGTGCAGAGGGGTTCGCCTCCGCCCCAGGAAAAGCAATCAGCATATAGTGGCACTGCCGCGCCCTTCTAACAGCGTTATCATGTCACCACGGAGCGAATCACGACATGGTGTCAATCGCCAATCATGACGGTCAGTGGTAACTGCGAGGAAGGCAAAAGACGGCAGTGTTCGGTCCATTTTCAAGCGGGCTTGTGCACATCACGTGCATTCCTCTCGCCAATTTGCAGAAATTCTACTCATTTGCCCACATAATGATTTGCTTAGAGGAAGCAATTTTCATCTATTTGTGTCGGAAAACCACCAGCATTTGAGGGTGGAACAAGGCCGTGCCAGGTGGCCGGCGTTTTGCCAACAAGTGGCAATCGGCAGTGCGGAAAACGCCAGCAGCCAGCGCCGCAGCGCGTCGCTGCATCTATGTAGTATATACGATTATGTACTCGTAAAATCATATACACATATGCGAGTGCATACAGATAAGAGCATGTACTCGTAACCGACCATTCCCAACAGTTGCAGTTGCTAACTGCAAGCTTCTTTCACAGTGTCCATTCGAGATTTTGTAGCTGTTATAACGTCGCAGCACCTCATCCTCTGCTCGCCAGCACTGGAAAGCAGCAGGCTCCAAATCGCTGCACATGACACGTGGCAACAAATATTCCACACGAAGCCACAAGATAAAAGGAATAAGGCAGGATTTTTGCAGGCAAAGTAAATGCTCAACTGCTAAATCAAATATGCACATAACAGATAATAAATAAATGGCAAATATTTAAATATTTAAATAAAAACAATAAATATGTAAATAATACACGCATTAAATATTCAAAAATATCAAATACTAAATATTTTGCAGTTACGCTTTTTTCTTGCGGATCAACGGAAATTGCCTCTTACCACGATGCTGAGCAGCATGTTTTTGATGGGCGAAGACGGCGCCTGTGCCACGAAGTCGATGGCGACGATGGGGCTCAGGCCACACTGCTTGTCCTGCTCGTTCCAGATGCACTGCTGGACGTCGACCCCTTCGCCGCTCTCCTGAAGGAGGGCCCTGCCTCCGGCGGCGCCCTGCAGGGACTCCTGAGGGAGGCAGCGCCAACCATCGTCACCTAATGTACACTATTATGAATGTATGGTGCTAATGTACGTTGCCGCGTTGCATTTGTAGTCCGAGCCATCCAGTTTTCCAACATGCTTTGTCTTCTGCATCGGGGGGGGGGGAGATGAATTCATTGCCAGCCGTCGTCGCGCATGTCATTATGTGCGCTGACGCATTGAAAACTAAATGGCACAAACTACAATGCAGCGGTTACAACTAAGCACGGAAACTACTACACTGCACACTGTACACTGTACACCTGCACACTGCATACACCATAATATACACTGTGTATACACCAGACCTGCACTTCACACCTGCACACTGTACACTGCAGCGTGAAGGACATACAGCGCCGTGTGTCCTTCATGCTAGGTTGTGATTTTCCCGCTTTTGTTTTTCTCAACTTCCTTTTTTCCCGCAGTCGGGGTAGAAATTAATGCAGCGCTGTGTGCATTGACGCCCTGCGTGGACCCAGAATCAGGAATTTCCAACCGCTGTCACGCACGCCATGATGTGCGCTGTACGTTTTCATGCTGCACTGTAGCTTGCGCCACTAATTTCTTCCAACTTGGGTTGTGCTCGGCAGTAGGGGTAGAAACCAATGCAAGTGTGCATGTGTGTGTAGTGTTATTCACGCAACGCCAAACAATGCCGCAGCGAGGCCCGCGCATCAGCACTGTGCTAGCTGCCAACGCATCACTGCTTGTCAATACCGACATGTGGGCATTGTCTGAAGAGTCGCTGGATCTGCGTCAATGGAAAAGCAGCCACAGCATCGCATCAACATGTTCCCACTTCCCTGATGGTATTTGTGCACTGCTTAGAGCTTTCTTCGAAACGTTTTACTGCCAAAGTTTGCGGCCAACATTAGCAGTGCGTGTTTTCGCATTGAAAATGACAAGCGCATGTTTGACCCGCAAATTGTGCCAACAAATTGGTGCCAACAAATCAGCGATGCTCACCGCGTGGACGTTCATCGAAGCCAGAACCGAAGCCAGGGCGGCATCGTACTTGACGACCGCCGCCTGAGCGGAGAAAAGGAGGCAAGCCGCCAAGCACAGGGCCGCCGCGATCCTCGCCATGGTTCCCGACCTGGCGCCCTGCGCGCAATACGAGTAGGGACACTTCCCTTCAAGACTCAATCGAACGATTTATCGATTCAGAAATACACCAATCAGTAGATCAGGCCAATCACAAATGAGGATAACTAGGACAATGGTGCCACGAATGTGGAAGACTCCAAGCAGCCGCTGGCGGGTGTAACAGCAAAAGGGAGGCTTCAGCTCATCGTTCCAGTCGGGGCATTCAGCGCTGGAACTCCCTTGCAGCCTACGAAGCCCTTCCCCCTCTACCTACGATGCAACTGGCGGGCGCCCCGCTTCCCCTGTGCAACCCGCCTCGAGCACAGAACCAGCCTGGGTGCGCCATTTCAAACTCGCACTGTCAGAAACCAACATGTTTGCGATGCCCACTGCGGTGCCATTTTGACACAAAGCGCCGTCATTACGGTCTGGCACAAAAGTGGGTGTGACGCCATCAATTTGTGTCAAATGGCATCGCAGTTGGTATCACAAGAATATCGATTACTACCGGTGTCGCCCACAGACGTTCCAGTTGGGCTCACTTCCTGCCAAGGCCCCATTGTCGCCTTCGGGGCGGCCCATGGGCACGTGCCTCTTCTCCCGTGACAACTCAACGAGCGACGCACAGGTGGTGGCATTTCTCTCCAGCCAAGCGCATGGGTGCTTGCAGGGCATCGCCGCACCGCGATTCCTTCCACCAACTCGATTCCCCCAGCTTTATTTACGCGCCCCAATCCTGACATCTGAAGGGGCAGCTGTTTCGAACAAGGCGCATTTCTTTCGACTCGCGACAGCTCAGTGAGCAACGCAAACGGCATGGTCGCCCAAGGGACAGCTCCTCAGTGCGGTTGCTTGAACCAAGTCGGTCCCCTAGGCCCGATTTCCCTCGCACCAATCGCCCCATCTGACAAGACACTCGCTTACCAACCCCCATGCGGATGGCGATCCAGCAGCCATCCACGCCGATTCACATGGATCGCCACGGCAAACAAAAGTGGTGCACTGGGCGCGCCAAAGCGCCCCCCGCGGCGGCGGTGCCTTCTCAACTCGGCGCGAGCTTTCCGCAGGCGACGGCTGCTGAAGCCGGTCCTCCCACTGCGACTGACCTGGAACCAGTAGGCCACTCGCGCTCATGGCAAAGGGCACTTCAGCACCAGCGCTGCGCACGGCCGCCGAGCCCCGGCGGTGAGCCAAACTCGCTCCACTCGCCGCGCGCCTGCTGTTGGGTGCCGAGCGGTTGCCGTGGCGCCAACGGGCCCCTCGCCTGCCGCTCCTTTGCGACTGGCGCCCTTTGCTTTGGGCTGACGCCCTCGCGAGGTGAACGAAGAAGAACGTGCAGCGCGGAGCCCAGCCAGGGTGCCGAGGCGGCCAAGCCGAGGCTTGCCCTCCACCGATTACCTCTCAAAGCACTCCATAATCGCACAGCCCATTTCTAGCGCCCGTTCCGAATTGGGCACCGCGCGCCGCAGCGCGTTCTGCCCGCCTACGTTCGCCTATGCGTGGCAGATCCATGTCGATCCGCGCACGTATGGACGCAGAGACAGGCGGCGAACAACGCGCCGCGTGCCTCGGAGCGCTGCTCAGCGACCCAATTCACGTGCCCCCACGTTTCTCCGCGCTGCAAAAGCAAGGGAACAAGGCCCACACACAGGCGCACAGCCACACTCGTGTGCGTGGCCTTGTGTTACCAAAGCTACCCAAAGTCCTCACCTTAGCTCGACTTCACTCGCCCTCTGCCTCTGCGGCTCCCTCTGCTGGGCGAGCGGCCAACGGACGGCACGGGTGGGGACCTTGCTCTGATGGGAGACCCTGTTCAAGAGGCGTCGCCTGTGATGCGACAGGCGCATGTTTGCCTGCGTCGGATCGGAGGGTCCGCAGTTGTCGCATCACGCTAATGAGGGGTGGGGCATTTGGGCCAGCTTCAGCGCAGGGCGCCACTCGCGCGGATCGCTGCGGCCGTACAGCGTTGCGGATTCCGTCAGAGGGGCCCGCAGTACATTGGGTGCAAGATCGGTGGCAAAGAGGGAAAGAAACACGTCGTACAAAGGGCACCCCCTCCTCATACAGTGCATGCAGTACATTGGGGTGCTCACGCGGCCCCGCGAAAAGGCGTTGTTGCGCCATGGGATGCTTTTCTTTTGTTTTAGTCTGCTTTGTTTACTTTGCCTTCATTTATTTTGTTTGCAGTGTTGCGGGCACAGGGGTCGATCCTTACACAAGAACGCTGAGTGAGCCTTTGAAAAATCCATTTCCGGGGCGAAAATTCATTTCCGGGGCGCTCTTAGCCGCGTTCCCAGCTTATAATATTAGATCCTTCAATGCATTGAAGAATTGGCAATAGATGGACTTGATAATGAGCTCGTTGGAATGCAATTTGAAAAAAAATGCCTGAATGTGGGCCGCAGACGGTCTTTGATGGATGCGCTGCATTCACCGAAGGAAGTCGGAAGCTCGCGGCGGTTACATGGGGGGTAGGCGGCCAGTCTTGCACCGCCATGTTGCAATCGGGGTGACGCAGTACCCGCAGTCGCCATCGCCTCCCCGGGCATGTGCTGTTGCGCCATGTGTTGTTGACAAGTGCAGGGAACTGAAGTTCACGCGAAACGCACTGGGCACTTGCATCTGCAAAATTGGCGGACGCTGACGCAATATTGTGCGTAGATCACCGTTGATGCAACGGCGAACAATGGTGCAGCAACGCCAATGTATCGGCACACGTGGGTATTTGTGGAAGCATTGCACCGCAATGCATCAGTAGCAATGCAGCTGGAATGTTCACTAGGGGAAAAGGACCAAACAACACTTTTGCGAACACACATAAGACACATTTCATCAAAGTTCTGCACGCTAAGAACATCAAAATAACCCAAACCCGTAAACTTTGTAAATTTGAACACGTGTTATTTGGCCCTTTTTTTACTGGTGGCTGCATCAATACTTGCCCGACTTTCCAGATTTGGGATTCCGCTGCTGCGGCCTGCTTTCTTTAGTGGAGGTGCGTCCAGGCTGGCGAGCCCAGACATGGGGCAACGGGGTGCTGTTGCATTCGGATCCCAAGGGGTTTAGTCACCACATGTTGGGATTATGGGATGTCATATGATGAGATTGTTTCCCTCGGCCGTTGTGAAGAGGGACAACGGGATATAATGACAGGATACGATTATAGGAAACAATTACCACTGGTAGAAAACAGCCTGTTTGCGATGCCAACTGCGATGCCAATTTGCCACAGATTGATGCCATCACAGCCCCTTTTATGCCATCGCACTCACTGTGATGGCATCAATTTGTGTCAAATTGCCATCGCAGTTGGCATCGCAAACAGGCGGTTTTCTACTGGTGTACAGGACGTGATTGCAGAACAAGTGACCGTTGGAGAGCGCGGCGGTCCTTGATCGAGGGTCCAAGTTAGTGGTTGCGCTGTCTGCCGCGGCGCCCCACGTGCGTCGGAAAAAAATATCCTGGATATTCACACCCAGGATATGGTAATCTCCCTCCATATCCCAGGATATGGGCTGTCATATCCTTGCACATGGCCATATCCTCCCCATATTCTCGCCATATCCATGTGCACCTGCAGCGCACGTGAAGCGTGATGCTCCCTCCACTGCTCCGAACGCTCGCCCAGCGCTTCGGAGCAAAGTCGGCTGTGTCGTGTACCTGGCTGTGGAGTGTGCAGCTCACAGAAACGCACACTCGACACAAAACTTCAGGAAATGCGTCAAGGAATGTTTAAAAATGCTTCTATAAATGCTTTCAGGAAATACATGCGCTTGTGCCGGAGCTTGCCTGTGAGCAGGCTCATCAAACAGTTGCTGTGCCTGTGCCACTCTTGCATACTGTTGTTCCCTTCAGGAGATTTGGTCACACTTCTAGCACGAGGCTCTTGTTCCCCAGGGCAGAAGCACGGAACGCAGAGGAGCAAAAGAGGAGAATCGGAAAGCATCCAGGACATTGAGGGCAAATTGTCCGTTTCGCACAACTTCCGGCTGAAGGCCCTTCAAATTTTGTTAAATTGGGGCCAAATCGTATGCTTGATGAAAAAGTCCATTGGTGTCCATGGCCAAATCGCATGATCTCAGCACTGTTCTCACGGCCACTTTCGCCAGCCCGACCTTCGAAGGTTGATGAAGAATAGCGAGGAGCCATGAGCCAAGGAACCGCCAGGCCTGGTGTGCTTTTCAATAGGCGTTCTTTTTGTAAATGCCCCGCATTAAGCAGTCCAAGTGCCACCCTCGTTCTAGAACAAAAAACATGTGGGCCCTGTGCCGTTGGACAACAAAATGGCAGGCGATGTAGAAACCAGCAAGCGTCCTTTTCTACATAAAGACATCATCAAAAAGATAAGATCGACGCTCAAGGGTGGGGAGGGGGGGAGATGGAACAGAAACCCTTGTAAGTCTCAATGGATTATCTGCTCTGGTGATCAAAAGGACAGCTCGGCTGCGCTTGGAGCGCTGTATTGGCATGCTGCTGTGCTTTGAGCGCACAGCCGTGCTGCTCTGATGTGCTTGGAGTGAGCAACCGTATTGCAAATGCCCCACACAGGCTAGCCGCACGGTTACTCTCCATCGCTCTGTCGATTGAAGCAGGTGAACAAACAGAGTCTAACAAACAAAGCGCGTGGGCATGAAACGGAAAATTGTTTGCTAGAAATCAAGACAGCAAATGGCGCCAAGTCTTGAAACGATATTGCAAACAAATTTTCCGAAGGGGCGCCAAATATTTATTATTAGGTGGTAAGGCCTGCCACGTCTTGCTAAGGTCTGCTCCGCAGTTGCAGGTGGGCGAGCAGCACTTTGTCTCGTTCTGACAGCTGCAGCCAATCATCTGCTGAGAAAGAGCGCTATTGATCCCCCACATTGTAATTTGTGCTCACCTGTAGCAAAAGGACTGAACGATATACTCATTCATATGTGTTACACATACCATTAGTCATTTAGTCCTGGTACGTCAGGACAGGCTTGTGACTAAACCATGGAATGTAAGTGGTATGTCGC